AATGTGAAAACTTAGATTTTTCGGAAAATTACTGGTGGGCCAAATCTTTGAGGCTGGTGGGCCATTTCGGGTCACTGGTGGGCCATTTGGCCCACCAGTTAACATGTTAGCCGAGGCCCTGAACGATCTCCAACTATCTTAAGCACACAGAATCGTGATTTGATGCACTCCTTGCAAGGTTAGATGCGTCACTAGTGCAATAGGTGATATGGACTCAGGAAATACTCAGGAAGACCTGCCGAATCGAATGATATGCGACATGACCTCTTTCGACCAGCTTCGTGACCTGGGGGCGCTGACCTGACCGTGACCTGAGGTCAACACCCTAAGGTGACCTGATCCAAACAAAAAGTATATCATTCGACGCGCCTGAGCAAGGCGAACACGATGCTGCCAAAATCGCGGCTCTGTGGCCGTTTTTTGCGAAGTTATTCACCAAAAACTGAACCGTACCTTTGGGCACTTGACCTGACCTCAGAGGTCACCGGTTGACCTAGGACCTTAAAATCGGGTATCAGCTCTGCGTCTCGTAACGGCGCACACGGTCGTTTTTTTCCGCGACGCGCTAGCTCCACCAGGGGCGAAACGGCGAGGGGGGTCGTACCCGTCCCCCCTCGGCCGGCGCGTTTGTAGAAAACCGTTAGGTCCGGCGAGGGTTAAACAATGTCCGGGTGTTGGTCGCGCTCCGTATTTATGGGGGGGGGGGGGGGGCAAAACGCCTCCCTCTCCTTTTCTATCGATATCTCTCTATAGATGACCTTGGATATCTCCTAAAGCTTTGCAGATATCGTCACCAAACTTTCATGGTCCCTGGGGGCATTAATTTTACACCTTGTGGCAGAAATGCTCAAGGGGCTATGATAGGTTGGCTACAAAAGACGTTTGAATGACGTCATCGTCTGCCATTTTCGACAAGAAAGGTTTGCCGGAAGAGCTATCACGCCTACAGTTTTAAAGGTACAGAAAAACATATTCTCAACAAAAAAGGTGTAAAAATAATTGGGCTACAAAACTGTTTCATTGGATTTTTTGAAATTTTGGACTTTGAACGCCAAAATCAATCTTATACATGTATGTTTAATAGTGAATACCCTATTAGTACCCAAAAAATCCAAACTTTGCGAAAACGGAAAGCATATTATAGAACTTGAGGTGGTCCATCGGCATCGACATACCAAGTTTGATATCAGTAGCTTCATTTTTGGCAAATTTATGGCGAAAAAACTACTCAACATTGGTGACGTCAAATTTCCAAACTCAATTTTTAGCTCAATTTCTAACCACGTAGCATAGGACTGAGGCCATCGTTGGAGTCCCCGTGACGAGCTACATTGAATCGATGCCTTTCCTATGCAAAACAACTATCAATTTTGAAAGTTGACCTTTTTACTTTACACTGACCTGACCTTCCCAGAACGCACCCTAAAATGGCCCCAATGGTCGCTTAACCCATGTAATTGAATTTGAAATGTAAAATTGACCATAAAGCACACGACCCTAAATGTGGCTAGTATAGTTGGGTTCATATTGCGACCCTACGTGACCTGACCTCTGTGACCTGACCTGGTGGCTGGTATCAATAATCTCATTTAGCATGGTGTTATCAGGGTGTAACAAAATTATCCGGACATCTTTTTCCCGCTGCAATTAAGAAGCAAAACAATCTGGTGCTTTTCCTTTTAAATGACGATATAGTGACCCAAGCCCCTAAAAACAGCGACCCTTCATAAGAGCACAGTTACGAATGCGCTGAAGCATTTCAGCCGCTGAGTTCTCCAGCACACTGAGTTTGCTGTGATTGTGGACTAACGCCGTCTTGACCTTTGCCTACAGTTAGGCGGTGCTGGTGGCAGGTGTCTCCTCATTCACCTGCTGGAGAATAGCCCACAAATTTTCGATGGGATTGGGAACGGAGCTTTTTCCAAGCCATAGACCCTTAGCCCAGAAGAATAGGAGGTTCTCTTAGCATCACTTCTCATTCTTCTAGTGATTTTGAGGTGGCGCGTCAACCCGCATGAAAACAGCGTGGCTTGAATCAGGCATCAGTGCACGTTCAGAAACTGAGCCCTCCTGTGCCATCTGGTTGAGCGCCTCCTGCCACTCATTAGAGAGGATGTTGTACCAGTAATACTCGTCGTTGATAGTGGTTTTATACGACACCATGTGCAACAAGACCATCACACAGCAGCTAAACAATAAACATGCTCCAGACCTGGATTTCGACTGGATGTTTGGCTAATGACGGAAACGGCCGGCACGTTTGAGCTACTAGCCGCCCACACACATCCGATTTAACGGTCCAAAGGATGATATAGCTCGAACAGCAGCCCATCCAACCAGACCACCTTACCAGACCAGTCTTCCTTCACCCAGTGGACATGCTCTGGTATGAAGAGAAAGGCTGGCTGTTTTCCCACCAGTGTTGTTGTCTTCTTCAGTTTAAATGGGAGCTGAACCAACTTGGTAAAGTGGGAAGCAGTGGATCATAATATGGAACTGGTCAGAGTGTGGCACATAACCAACATAACCATGACAAATTTCATTTGATGTCTGTGATACATAAATAATTTGATAAAAGGCCTTCTTCTTAGTAAGTGTGGCATGGACAAAAGCTAATCCTTACCATATTTATATCCAATGTTATCATAAATAGGTAACACTTATTACCACCTGCCAATGCACCATAATGTGACTGGTTGATAATGATAACCAGGTGTAGGATGATGAGGCCATGAGTGCAGAGGCCAGAGGTATTTAGCCAATCTATTTGGTGATGCTATGTTGCTGCAATAGTGTTGTAGGTTAGATAAGGTTTTGATAGGTTTCATTAAGTTTGGTTCAGTTTAGTTAGGTTTGGTTTAACTTGGTTTGGTTTGGTTGGGTTTGATTAGGTTGAGTTAGGTTAGGTTAGTTTTAGGCATGTTTAATGATAAAAACTTGTAACATCTTCTGTAGTTGTTCAAGCCTGGCCCCTGGGACACTATTATCACCAATAAATACTTTATTCTGTTCTTCATAAGTTGTTCAAATACAATTGCAAATCAGCGGTTCAAGAAGAAAGGCTAGGTACCATTCGCTCCCATATAGGAAAGAGCAATACTCTGAAGTGACGGAATGAAACATAGGCTACGTTTCCATGACACAAGTTAAACCGATTTTGAAAAATGGATTTGCTCCATCATAGCATTGAGGCATAATGTAAAAATGTAAACATAGGATTCGGTGCTAGCTAAAACCATATATACACTCATTTTTTGCATAAGGTAAATAGTTTCCGATAAAAACGCGCATGAAATTTCGCTAAATCGATTTAGACGTGTCATGGAAACGTAGTGATTATATGTCTTGAAACTTTATAACTGCTTTATTTTTGCAAGATTATTGTTTGGGCTGATTGGAACCATTCCAAACCATTTTTCAACATTCAGTAGCATTTGATAGCTGCCTAATTAGTCACATTGCAAATGTTTTGATAGGTACCTAGATCACACAATTTCACCTGGGGGCTCAGACCTCATGAATAGTGAAAAATGTAAGTGGAGTGGATACTGATAATATAAATCACAACAAAACAGTGTATCAAGTTAACTCAGAATATCTTACCTCCAAGGACAGCATTTTCTGGCAAAGTTGCCATAATTGCTTCGATCGTTCTCCCAGACATGTTTGATGTTGGTCAGCTGCAGCTGCAGAGAAATTGAGAATAAGTCAATTCAATGCATATTTTATATTTTTACACAATTATTCATACAATTTATTAAGGATTTGACGGAAAATTGTTAAACTTACTTATCCTAGCTACTTGATCTTCTAAACGCCTCCTCGATCAAAACAAATCCTCGGTATAGGACTTTACACAGAAGAATCCTTGCGTATCAAATGGCGCAAATGCGCATTTTTCGTCGACAATCCTCAACAAGCATCACGTGATGTAAAAGTCTTGTGCTTTCAGGAACTTTAAAAATATTTTATCAGGCTACTAAATTCGATATTGAAAACAGTCAAGGCAATAGAACTCAAGATTCTTACAGATAGTATGAAGCATAGATAGCCATATGAAACTTATTGCTAATATTGCATGCTTCAAATGTCATTGGACTTCAGCTCAAATTGAGCTCAAATGCTCTAAAACGAAATGTAACGATGCGGTGTAGTGCAACGATATGCTAGGAAGATGCCGGAGCTCGGAATCCTGACAAAATAAAGCGGCCTTCTGCTCAGCTAAAGTCTAAACCCACGGAGAAGGACTACAAGCTCCAAATGCGCCAATTCAGACCAGCGTCAGCGCTGTATTTTGGTTGCTAGCCGCTGACTTCCCGCGTATCCGCACTTATAAGCGGGACCTAAAGGCTGAAGCTCCTGCAGCACCCGTCCCGTCGTTCCACCCTTGGACATTCAAAATTTCAAATCCTCTTCCTCCACGCTGCAGCCCCTGGACACTGGACAAGCAAATTTATCCTATGCCGTATGCGGGCGGCTCCCAAGGCCGTATAGAAAGGCGGCTCCCATTGGAGCGCACCGCAGCTTCAAATTGGAGCACACCCGTAGCCGGGTGCCGCGATCGTGGTTGGGGAACTGGTCGACCTGTCTACTTGAATCGGGTTTGCCTGCCCAGACCAGTGTCGCTTCCTAATTTCTATCATCCTCCTGGCTCTACAATGGTCTCAATGGACCGAAAGGACCTAACCCAACTGAATTCCCGTAGCTTGTCCTGCACTGCGCACGATACCACTCACCGAGGAATCCTTAGATCCTGCTCCTGGCACAGGGGCAACTGAGCTGTCTTCGGCCGTGCGGCTACCGTGCACACATTGCAACTGATTTTAATACACCTATTGATTTAAACGTCTGCTAACATTAATGGGCTTTTATGTTTTGTTCACCGAGACTAAGAGCCTAAACACGGTGCAGTATTGTTTACCTCGGGATAACCGTCTCATAACAGTGCATTTTCACAATCTAACGAGAACTGCACCGATAAGCAAGAGAATAAGACAACAAACTGGCAGCCTTCTTTATTTCATGGAGTCATAAAACATTAACAAAGCCAGGAATAAGCCGCGAGTCGCAGCCAACAGCAGGTTTGAGTGGCATTGCCGTCTCTCACTTCTCCACGGCCCCGAGCGCCGCGATTGTACTATGCCCGAGAGCAATGGAGCCCCGGCCCGACCCACCCGACTAGACATGATAACACATTGGTAAACGGCCGACTACAGGAACCAAACCGATTTCCCGCGGCGGACATACAACAAAACGAGCGGGCGCGCTTCCTGCGAGTAACCAGCTCTGGTTTGGCGTGCCACGGCGGCCGACGAACACAATGGACCCGCTCCAGACGTACCCTGCGCTCAAACAGCTCTCACACAGCCAGACGGCGCCCGTTCCGGGCGGAGACGGGCACCTACAACAGCGCGCCGAACCAACATAATCCAACCGAGGACCGGCTACAACTCTAACCGAGCAGCGTCTCCAACCGAGAACGGCCACAGCTCCAACCAAGGACCGTCACAAGTAACAGCATACCGGGCAGCAGCGGAAGCCCACATCGACACTACAGTCTACACATCTACCGTCCGCATGAAAAATAATTTCTCCCCGAATCCCACACGCCGACCCTCTGCCGATCATAGTCGGCATGACGCGACCGGGAAGGCGTTTGAAGCGTGCCGTCTCTCACGGCGCGTTCACAGTGGAAATACACACGCGGTAACAGCTAGAACACCACAGTGACTGACGAGCGGCAGACTCGGCCTGTCTGCCCAAACACGGCACATCGGTAACGGAGTGACTGACGCGCGCAGCGGCGGCGCGGCCGACGGCAGTGGTCCCGACTTCAGACATGACTCGCGGCGCCAGGGCGGCTCCACAGGCGCCCACTATCACACCCCTGTGAGCGGCGGCGCAACGCGCACACACAGCGCTGAACACGACACGAGTCCGGCACGGCCCTTAGCCAGGTCACAGCTGAGGCAGCTCGCTGAGCTCAGGGATCGGGTCCCGCCAGTACACGAACGAGTTGTAGTCTAGGTTAGCCACGTCGTCGCGATCACCACAAGGCGGGAAAAAGTGGTCCACAATGTGAGTCAGATTTGTATAGCTGAAACAAAAGGAGACCACTGTCAGTCGAGTGTGGCTTCAGCCAGTGAGACTACCAGAATGTAAAGAAAACTACGAAACGGAACAAACAAAGGCAGATATTGTGTGAAAAGCATTATCAACGTGAATAGTTTGCCATGAATAAAAACTAATCGAATAAGACTTGGACATATACAACAAAACAAGCCCTTTGTGACCCACCATGGTCTGTAATGTCAATGTCGAGTGTCATAAGCACCAAAAGGAGGAAGGACACTAGAACGAGCACATCATCCCAGTACAAACACATTATCAGACACTGGACAGGCTGACTGATGTCAGTCAATGCTGACCGCAGCCAAAATGTATTATCAACTTCCAGCTGATAAAATGCCACCCAAAGCGTGATTACCCCGCACTGTTATCCGAAACCGAAGCGTCCCCAACCTCCAACATGCTGAAGCAGATGCAACACAGCACTGCCAAAAGCTCGCCCCCACCGCGCCGCACAGCAGCTCGTGGAACCGCAGCCTACCGACCCCGCCACCAGGTGGTGTTAGTGTAGCTCCCGATTATCCTTTACCTGCTGCCCGGCGCTGCCCGTACGCCAACGTTAGTCCACCGAAAGAGACATAGGAACGTCTGGTTTCCACTAGAGCTAAGCGAGATTCCGTGCGCCAACACCAGTCCACCGAAGGATGAATAGGAACATCGGGGTTCAGCACGAGCTAAGCGAGATTCCGTATCTGCGATCGCTTTGGAAGATGATGTTTTCCGTGCATCAGGAGTTGTGGAAGCAAACTGCCGACATCTGTCCCAGGGAGCAGGTAATCAACCGATGACGGCTCGTTTATGAAAAGCTGGATATCAAACTTCAGCTGTGGAGGGAGGATTTCATGGGAGCTGATGTTTAACCCCGACATGCAGGAACAGACAACAATCTGCAGCACGATCTGGCAGTAACGTACTGCCATGCCGGATCAGGCCAGGTCAGGTCAGGTTAGTCCCAGTCATATTGCTAAAAGTCTTGGCTGGGGTCTGTCATAATGTCTGCTCTTAGCCAGACAGTATTCAGTCGACGAAAAATAACTATTAAAAAACGACGAAAGCTTTTCTGGAACCGTCGGATCAGAATAGAAATAAAAGGATCGTTCAGAACCACTCGCTAAAAACGCCAGGCTCGGTGTCCACTTAACTGCAAGGTCAGCACTCAGCACGTCAGCTTCGATCCTGTTAGTCTAGGTCAGCTCAGCCCAAGGCAAGTCAGGTCAGGAAATTGTTATGTTCATTTCATTCCAGTCAGGACAGCTCCGGCCTGTGGTCATGTCATCCCCGTTCGGCGGTGAACCCGAGGCCAAGACAGATTAGCTCCAGGTCGGGACAGGTGAGCCGCAGTCAGGTCAGGTCCTCAGGTCCGGTCAGGTCGGGTCGGGTCGTTCCAGGTCAGGTCGGGTCGGGTCGGGTCAGGTCAGGTCGTCGTCGGACGCTCACCGGGCACTGCGTGTCGCCGGGGAATATCGATGGAGTCGGAGGCGGGTCGCAGGCCGAGACTATCTGTGCTACAGCGGCGGCCCGGCTGCGGTACCGGCACCGGAACAGCCACCGCCGGCGACTCCTTCCGACCGAGCGGCGGGAACAGCCAGTCCACCTCGCGCGCCTGGCTCAGGAAGCTGAAACCCGCCCAGGCGGCACCGTTCAGAGGCCGGGAGAACAGAGGAGAGGCGGACGGGCAGCGGCCGCCCGCGCACCGGGCCCCACAGAGAGCCACACCGAACAGACTTCAGCCGAAAGCCGAGTCGGCGATTCCACGGATCGGTTAACTACGAAGATAATGCAATTAGATGCAATCCAGCTCATAAAGCAAATGCTGTTTATCAGACATGACTCTCAATAAATTACTAATGCACCAACGTTTCAATTACTTCATTGAACATCACTGCCGAGCCGTGGAATCGTAGACGTAAGTGTAAGGACGTAGCCTATCAGCGATGTCCGAATGTGCTGGGTTGGAAAACTGCTGTAGAAAGCACTCTAAGACAGAAAGACAAATAAGTGTCGAATGTCAAACGCAGCCTTTAAAGCCCGCTGGAAAGCTGACGAAGGACATCATAAAGCATGCGTGATGTGTGTGTGTGTGTTCGCGCGAGCCTAAGTTCTGCTCATCCGCCACCACTTCGAAGCCAGTGTCCCCAGCCATCCCGTACTTTTCTACATCCTGCAGTGTCGGGCCGATTTCAGGTGAAATGGAGTGGATAATGGTGCCCGCTGGTCAATTATTCCGGTGCCCTGCTCAATGGACTAGTGTATCTAAAATTGCCTGCACCACTGAATAGCTGAGCGTAAGCCTATGAGCTGCACCCGACCCAGCCTCCAAAGCCCGTCGACTCTACCCCCAGTTCCCCTCCCTTCCCTTCCCGTGTCGTCCCGACCAGAAACCCCTCCCTGTCTCTGCTGCTAAGCAGGCACACGCGCGGCCACTCACGAGGACTGGAAGGTCTGTGTCAGCTCGTGACGCAGCTCGCCCCGGTGGTTGATGGTGAAGATCCGCGAAGACGGGATGCCCACGGCTCGGTACGCGAACGCGTCGTTCACCCGGTTCCCGTAGCCGGCGTACAGCGGGTTCCGGCCCGGGAACAACGCCTGGATGTCACGCAGACACGGGATCTTGAAGTCCTCCGGGCGGCGCTCGATCACTTCCCTGGAGAGACAGAGGGACACGGGCCGGTCAGTATCACGGTACACGTGTAATGTACGACATAGGGGTCAGAGGAGGGCGCCGCTCGATCACTTCCCTGGAGAGACACAGAGGGCACGGACCGGTCAGTCACACGGGCTGTGTGTGACAAGGGGTCGGAGGAGGGCGACGCTTGGCCACCTCTCTGGGTGGTGACAGAGACGGCCAGTCACCAGTCAGTAACTACATGAGTTATGAGTAGCACGGGGCCGGTAAGGACGGCGCGGCACCACGGCAGTGGGACGTGTGAAGTGCGAGTGTACACGGCAACAGAACAACATAACGCTGGGTTGCAAGCAGAAATATGTCGGGCATCATTGGGGCATCAGCACAGCGACAGATCTGAGATCCAGAGACAGTAGTTTCCTTTGCTAGCGCCGAGCACATACGTGTTTACACATAGCTGTTTGTTGTCAAAAAACAATGACAGCCCTGACTGCCGACAACAACCGACAAGCTTGATTCCGGCCGCTCTTTTGCACTTGATCAAATGAACTACCGAACATAAAAAGAGGTTCACTGAGGAAGGCGACAACACGGCCACAGGAGACAATGCAAAAACTACAGAATGACCTCAATGAACATACCACACAAAACATGCCCAGCGGCGAGCGCTCAGTGCTCCGGATCTCGTTCTTTCACTGATGTCCACACCAACATACTGGCGCATATATCAATCAAAAGGGCGTCGGACTCTGCAGTTTAGGAGCATTGCGAAAGAGGCGCACACCATCAGCGTGAGGGGAGGATAAACACTTATTACGTCATCGGCGCCGGGGTGATACTGCGCCTAAATGGAACATCTGGGCAAGAAAAACACACAAATCAAGCAGAATTGCGCCAACGTTAATGTGTACAATAAACTCCCGGAACCTGACATGCACGTTGCGAAACAAGATTCCTTGCTTGCTTGTGCTTGTTCTACAATATTTTCCACTAGCCGTAGCCAACATTGCAAAATGGAAAAATCCCAACCTGCAAAAATGTGGACTTTTCGCTGGTCATCGCGACACCTGTTGACCACGACGCTGGCAAAATACAGCACCAATCGTCTACGTGGAATGCTGATTTCAACAATCCCGGCGCCAAAACATTGTCAGAGTGCGGCATTGCGCCACTCTCCTGGCAGTGACAGTGACCGACTCCTGCACAGGGCACTCCACCCTGCTGTCCACACACAGACACACACACGGAGCTGGCTATTGCACACCGCTGCCAAACGTTCCCGGCGTGCAGGGGTGAGTCAGGACGCCGCGCAGCACCTCTGCTCTGTCCGTACTCTCACGCTCTATCTCAGATGACGTAGCGAGACGTCACCGCTGCGTACGTCGCACGCACCACCGTCCCATCGGTCGTGACCGGCCACAAAATACACCCCAGTGGACACGGAGCATTAATGGCCGGGCATGCGGCCATGTCAACACCTGGAACACTAGAGTCGCCCCTGTCCACACCAAAATAGTCACACAGGGACCAGAGCTGGCGTTACAACACACTCATATGCGCATGACGGCTTTTCCACGAGTCACGAACTCAGGATAATGGACTTCGGATACTACGTAGCAGCTGCGACGCAGGTTCCCTCCTCAAACACGCTCCCTAGTCCCTATCTTCTCAAACACTCCCCCCTCTCTCCCTATCCTCCCAATGAGTAAATCAGCGTCACGATAGCGCCGATAGCTACGGTCACTCGAGCCACCGCAGGACCACGGCCGATACGAGAGATAAGGGGATACGGCAGCTGCCAAGGCCGACCGGCCGACGGGGCATGGTCAGGGACGCGCGGCGGGAGGCGTCCGGGGTTCGACCGCAGTGAACACGACGGGATATCGGCTGCGATCGCGTGAGACCAAGCTAGGTTCGTGACATTGGATTGGGTCTCCAGCTATCGACTATTTACTAACGAAGTCCTAACGAACTATTGAGACCTCATATGGCCAGTAACTATCCACGTGAGCCTCCCGCGCTTCGACAGTACGACTTATAACGATGATTAATTTGGTACCTACCTACGCAGACAGTTCACATGTTATCACCTTTTTTGTTCGACTGAACGTGCTCGTGTTGGTAAATGTCACGGCGCAGTGGATGGGGGTGGAGGGGGGGGGGGGAGTTAATTCCCCTTGTCAGAGTACTACGCCACTCGCCACCACGGCGTCAAATCACCGAACAACGCACAATGGACGATATACGCCTTCCTGACAGTGACATCACGCTGACGTCATAAATCCGCACCAATTGGCTGATGTACGCCGCTGGTCCGCCGCAGCCGGTCCGTTCAGTTCGGGGTGAGTAGGGTCGATATGGCGTCACCCTAGACACGGAACACATGGCCGGGCCGAGGTCACGCCACACGAGCCCCACGATGGATCCATCGGTGGTCGCTCACAGGGTCGCTCGTTCACAGCGGGGCAATGCCCGGTCGGGTAACCCTAGATACGATACACACAGGAGCGGGGGGCCACGAGCCAGGACCCCCTGAGTCGCGCCGCGTGGCTTCCAGCGGGTTGGAACGGACGCCCCGGGTGGCACAGCTGTTGCTGCCGTCAGCAGGGGTTCGGGAGAGAGAGAGAGAGAGAGAGAGAGAGAGAGAGAGAGAGAGAGAGAGAGAGAGAGAGAGAGAGAGAGAGAGAGAGAGAGAGAGAGAGAGAGAGAGAGAGATAGAGAGAGAGAGAGAGAGAGAGAGAGAGAGAGAGAGAGAGAGAGAGAGAGAGAGAGAGAGAGAGAGAGAGAGAGAGAGAGAGAGAGAGAGAGAGAGAGAGAGAGAGAGAGAGAGAGAGAGAGAGAGAGAGAGAGAGAGAGAGAGAGAGAGAGAGAGAGAGAGAGAGAGAGAGACGCAGCAGCCTTAGGTCTGTCTGACGCGCACCACCGAGACGTGGGAGGGAAATCCGATAAGGCTGAGACCGAGCGTCCTCCCGCGCCCCGACTGCACAGCCCGGCTTAACATAGACCCCGCTGATGGCGCCTATTCATTGCCGCGATACCGCACAAAGCCGAGCTGATGTGCGCGCTTTCACAGGGAGCCGGATCAGGCCGACAGAGCTGGGACGCGGCGTGATATCCGACGCAGCGCGGCAGCGTCTGTGAATTTACGTCGCTCCGTGCACAGCAGGATCCTGTCTGTTGTCATCTCTTATCGTTCGGTTACGTTGACGTCACATATCTGGTCCACTTCACGCACGTCGCACATGTGCACTGCAACGCATTGTGCGGTGTGCACGCACAGTGCAACATTTGCCCAGTCACCCAGATTTGGACAGCAGCAAAAAATCATAATATCGGTCACACTGCGTCAACGCTGACATATTTTGCATTCGTTCTGACAGCTTGTAATCAACACAACGGAGCACGATTCCATATCACCCGGACGTTGTTCCGTGGACCGTGTCGCATCATGATGATGATCGCCATTCGAGAGACTGAGTGCAGCTCTATCAAAACGGTGATCTCGCTCTATGGTGGTGAGCTAGCTCTATATGAGGGCAATCAACTCTGTCTGGGACATGACGCTCTAACGTCCCCTCACCTGTGCAGAGCGCTGACTAGAGACGAAGGGCTGAGCAGCAGCGGTCCGTCGGGCAGACTCAAGTCACCCTGCCGCACCGACTTCAGGTACTCCCGGGTGATGGGCGCCTGACCTGAGGTCACAGAGGGGTCAGGGAATCAGACACAGGCGTCACCGATAGTGAGCTACATTCACAGCCACCAGTACAAGAAGCGTCTGTTCTAAAATTATCATGAGTGTTTCGCCTGCAGCTGTCCTGACCGTGAAACATGCAGTATTGCCGATATTCCGCTATTTTATCGTGTAATTCCGCATACTTGTGGCGAGACAAGTGTTCAGAATAGCGCGACAGCCGTGCGCGGGAGGGGCTGACAGGTAAACCTACCGATGGCCCGTGCCGAGAGGTAGAGGAACTTGTAGCCGTTGTCACGGATCTTGGAGTAGAGCGCCGCCACGCCGCTCTGCGCCCAGTTTTGGCCGACGATGGGCAGGATGTGGCCCAGCACGTCAGACCTGGCGGGACAGAGCGACGAAAGGGTGAGCGAGGCATTCGATTGTCACAAATGGTAGAGATAGCAGATAGTTTAGACAGTTAATAAGACCTAGAGGAGCACGACAGCGACAGGGTGTGAGCCACACACACCCACGGTGTGGGCAGTCGGCCGGCGAACAATGACTGGCTAATACCAGCATGCAAACAACATGAATTACAACGATACACACAAGTCAACAAACGAGCCATTGTTATGATGCTGAGCGATTACATACGAGCGTCGAGCGTCTTTCCTGTCCCACTGACCGGGCCTAAGTGGTCACGGAGTCCCTCCTGGCCCACTGAACGAGTTCCGAGCATTACTAACATAACCTCGGATCACGGGGTCCCCTCTGCCCACTGACCGGGCCCCAACTGACGTCATCGCACAGCTCCCGTCCAGACCACGGACCAGGTGACCCCGGGGCCTCCCACCCCACCCCACCCCTGTCTGCTGACTGGTGCCAGAGGCCCGCTACAGGTCACCCGCCCTCCCCGGGGGAAGAGGGGCCCAGACGACACATTCCAGCGGCGAGACTGTGTCTGAGGGTAATCAGTATACAGTCCCGGCCACAGGCCAGAGTCGTGACTGGTTACCGGGCGACCACACAGATAAACTGACCACAGTCCATGGACCTGTCTGTATTGACACGTCACTACACTGACCAGTCCCAGAGGCCATGTCACTAGCAGCCTCACCCAGATAGGTGCTACTGCTATGGTGACCGGGCGGGGCAACGCGGGCCTCTATATACATAATGCAGGACGGGGTTTGCTTTCTCTGTTAGAGCTACATGGCTGGCTATGCAGAATAGATATCCTCAAAAGCAGATCACATTCAGGGTGAAATGCATGACTGAACGTCTAATGAAAATAATCACTACCAGAAGCTGTCCACTTGGCACAAACGGACAAAAAAGGTAAGATGACGTGCGGTCCACCATAATAACAGGAGGCCGACTGACGTCATCACAGTGGTGACTAGGCTAACACCCCTCGGTGGTCGGCACATAATCCAAACACGCGCCCGGTGGGCGGCCATCAGCGAATCCCTGACACCCCTGGTGGGCGGCCCATCGGCCATGTCCAGACGCCCTAACAAACCGACCGAGAAGGCCGGATAAAGCAAATCGAGAGGCCAGCCCAGCGCCATAGACAAGGTTTATTGACGCCAACACTGCTTCACCTAAACACGACCATACAGATTGGCCAGCGCTACTTCACGGGAGGTAGCGCTCGGCAGAAACAGTTGTTCGTAGAATAAAGGGTTTACATATATAACACGACTGGGTCTTCACCGAGATCTTATAAATCACTCAAAGTTTATTTTTCACTAAACTTTATTATTGCATGGAAAATGATCGGAGCTGGGCTAAACAAAAGTTGCATCATTCTCTAGGAGCCAAATGAATGTATAATATGTCCATTGAGCAACACATTGATATGAAACAATATGCAAAACCAGAATTCAAGAAGGATTGCACGGATCTGCAATATGCCGACATCTGTATGCAATAGCAGATTCCATTTCCCAGCTGCAATCGGACTTGACGAAAACCATTCAATGTGCTTTGCTTACGTAAGACCCCGTGAGATTGAGAAATGGGCTAGTGACCTCTGGTGACCCTAGACCATACTACTAATACAGAGCAGCCGACCCGACCAGCAGCCAGACGTCGGTCTGGGCTGGACGTAGTGGGCTGGGCTGGGCTGGACGTAACGTCTGGACGTAGGGCGACGTGTGGGGCGACGTAGAACGACCGTCTCAGCCGGGAACGATCTAGTTCGGAGCGGCGCGGACCGAGTCAGTCAGCCCACTGCACAGTGGGGATTTTTCCGATCTAGCGCCTATTAATTCAAAAAATCTTTTTTGGGTTTTTGTTTATTTTATGTGTCAGTGGGGCTAAGAAATGTCTGAATTTTTCATATATGGCATTGTTTTATCTGTATGTCCACAGCAAGACTAGGAAAAATGCGCCCAAAGTTCACACTCATGCGTGATTACTCAATGGGCTCAGTAAGGACCGAAAGTATGGCTCAATTTCATTGTCCTGTCCTGTTGGTTTTATTCTTGCGAGTTCTTAAAGTTGCATATCTTCTGAAAGGCACCTATATTAGGAATGGAATGGCAAACAGAAAGTATGCCACAACCTTACTAAGGTCACAAAAATGCCATTTACAAAAAACCCTTACAGACACCATATTGAAGGAATGGTATTCTAGATAAATGTAGGAAATCAACAATGTTTTCCACACTTTTCCACTCCGAAACATATCCTATCGAATTCGCCACTTTCTCCTGCACAAGACAACGCCTAGTTTGGCTGCCGGAACTTGCCTGAACACGGAATATTCGCATTAGAGTATCTTAATACCCCACTCTAGGAGCGATAGGGCAAACAGCACGATAAAGGTATGTTCCAGACATGGGCGAATAATTTTACTTCCTGACTTATATGATGCATATTTTCTGAGACACATTCATGAGGAATAGGATGACAGGCGTAAATTATACATACCGCAACCTTATTAACCCTAGTACTAGTGGGGAGGGGGAGGGGGAAGGGGTCGGATAAAACCCCATGGTTTTCCGCAAATCACTAGCGCAAAAAGCAGCCGATCGCGACGAAACTTTCGTTGCCCTCGAGATCATCAATTTTACATCTAACCTAAAAATTTCATGACTCTGACCCAACTGACCTTTGACCTGTGGCATATTTCTCGAGACCATGTTTGGCCGGAATCGCGATTCGGCGTATGCCAGCTCACATTATCCGCGGTTACCAGTCTTTTTGTGGTTTTAAACGTTCAAATATGTGAAATGATGCTGGTGCCATGCATTATGGTGGGTGTCAAGGTCACGTGAAGGTCAGGTCAAGGTCATTGACCTTTGATGACCTTGGTTCACTTTTTCGAGTTTTACTTGCTTCTAGGGTAGTTTTTGGTGTTGATTTCGAATTTAGCAACCATTTGAATATTTACGAAGTAGTTCTGGTGCCTTCGTACCATGTTACGAAGCTGTCAGTAGTAGGTGACACCTATTATGGATGGCCGGCAGGACGTCTACTGGCTGACCTGACCTGACCCGACCTGGCTTAAATGCATGAAGACATCGTCTGTGATCAAAACTAACATGAAATTCGTGATCAGCACCCCAAAATACCCCGTAACATCCTAACTTTACGAAGTTCCAAGAGGTCTCGATTTTCCATCTTCAGTTGGGTCATTGACTTGACTTGGAAAGTCAACTAATGACCTTGGACTTTGAAATTGGATATATTCGGCCTCATCTCGTCATAGACAGCACGCTTGATTTTTCCGCGAAGCTCTAGCTTGATCAGGGGCCAAACGGCTGAGCCGGGGGTCCAATTGAACCCCCTATACTATGTTGATTATGCACATTTACAGGTAACACTCTCACCAGAACACACCAGCCAACATCTGTGCACAATCTGGCTACAATACTACCTATGGTTTGCCCTCTACGAATAAATACGTGTTAGATCGGAAAAATCCCCACTGTGCACTGGTCCCATGGCACGCACCGCTACGACGTCAGCCGACCTCTGACCTCTCCCCGGCGGTCACATGACCGGAACTATTCGTCATCCTACCGAATCACGCGCAGCCGTCCCCCCCCCCCCCCCTCCCGGGGGACAATCACCGCGGTGTTTTCGACCAACTCTTTCAACACGAGCCAGCGCGGTAGGCTGACACGGCCATTCGTCGGCCCGCTATGTCTCTGTCACAGCCGCCGCGTGCCACCCCGCTCCCTCCCCGGCCGGGGGGGGGGGGGGGGGGGAGGTAGGCGGGGTCGGCCGCGCTGCGACGCTGGCACTCGGCCAGGTGGGGAGATGCCGCCGGCCACCGGTGACCTTGACAATGTCGGCCGCCGCCGCGGGCGCCGCCCCGCGCGTGTCGCTGACAGGAGAGCACCAGATAAGGAGAGTGCGTCGCCGGCACGCCGCGGCCAGTGGGCGTATTTGGAAATTCCGACCTCGACGAGCATCTGTGGTAGAAAACCACCACTTTGGTAGGGGAAACTACTGCTGTCTGCTACCATTTGCACTGCATGTGTCGCTATAGCTGCGACATCTATGCATATACATATAAACTGCGACATATGTGTGCGCTGATTCTAGTTAGCGATTAGCTAGGGCACCAGGGTGGATCCCATGTGGATCCAAAATTTCAGTTTGAGGCAGGGCCGGGATGCGGAGCCGGAGCCGGAGCTGGAGCCGGAGCCGGCATATTTTGCCCGGAGCCGGAGCCGGAGCCGGAGCTGTCAAAAAATGGGACGACTCCGGCTCCTTTTTTTGAAGAGGAAAAAATTATTGACCTATAGTTCGGTTTGTCAAACCGAACTGCCTTGAACTTGCAGTTCCAGGCAGTAAAACATGCGGTATTCAAAATATGAAAATAGGCTTGTTATGCAAATGGAGAAGCAACGTGCACCTATCCCATCTTCTTATTTTCTGCCACCCGTACTTAATATGTACCTACTGAGTATTGGAGCCGGAGCCGCCGGAGCCGGACCATTTCAATCGGAGCCGGAGCCGGAGCCAGAGCCGCCATGGCATTTCACCCGGAGCCGGAGTCGGAGCCTTCCCACGGCTCCGCATCCCTGGTTAAGGGTGGGGGAACTCATGACCAGCCCGATCCCCTGTAGTCCGGTTGCTGAGCGGGGGGGGGGGGGAGAAAAGTCCAATATGATGCCACGCCTATAGGTATATATATATATAGGTATGTATTGGTACGTATTGGTATTGGTAAAGTTAAAGCTAAAAGTTATTCAATAAGTTTAAAAAACACCGACGCGGAGCGCTGCCGTTTTTAAGATATCCGCGAAAAACAAATCGTCAACTTGATGAATCGATAAAAATCACTAACATCTCAGGAGGCACACTGCTGAGTGCTGATACCAATACTGAATGCATACTTTTATACCTATAGGCAATAGGCATGTCTTTTGTGGCATCATATTGGACCTTCCTTCCCCCCCCCCCGATCAGCAACTTTGACTGCCGGGGATCGGGCCGGCCATGAGTCCCCCCACCCTCAAACTGAAAGTCTAGTTCCATCCTGGTGCCCTCGCTAATCGCTAACCTAATCAGCACAAACAGATGTCGCGGTTTATATGTATCAGTAAATGCATTATGCATAGATGTCGCAGCTGTAGCGACACATGCAGTGCAAATGGTAACAGACAGCAGTAGTTTCCCCTACCAAAGTGGTGGTTTTCTACCACAGATGCTCGTCGAGGTCGGAATTTCCAAATACGCGGCGCAGCTGGCTGCCGGGCCAAGTACGGCCACATGACCCAGATCGACCCACACACCGCTAATATAGCAGCCCGTCCAGCGCTGGCGGAGTAGGGCCATCAGCGCCTGCAGTAATCTGCATCCAAATAGAGTCGATAATTTACCGACCACGGCACGGGCCGCCGTGGGTTTCGCTCCCGTAAATTGCGTCTGACGCGACAGCGAAACATATGACGTAGCATATGATTAAAGGTAGTGTGCCAGCTTTCTTGGACCGTATGGAGTTAATGGCCCAGATAAGGAGAACCGGATTTTTAGAACTTATCCATACCTTCAAAACTCATGGAAACGTCTTAAATTCTTCAAATTTTGAGTACCCCAGTGCGAAATTCGCCCCGACGGGTTGTCGGTCGTACCCCAACCACATTTCACACCACTATGAACAATAAATGCACACACTGAAATCGCTATTACCGATATGCTCATCCAATCAAGTTTCGATAAACCCGTTCATCATCAGCTCCTGCGGTTTCGAACACGCCTGTTAGGTGGTGCGGTAGACCACGCCCAAAGCCAGGGCCCCGGTAACGTGAGGTAGCCGAGTCAGGGCAGCGTGCGCTGACCCAAGCCGGAGCCGCGCGTCCTCCCGGTGTCATGTGATAGCCCGGGGCTGCCCGCGGGGATGCGGTAGACCGCGCCCAAAGCTGCGGCCCCGGCTTGGGTCAGCGCACGCTGCCCCGACTCGGCTACCTCACGTTACCGGGGCCCTGGCTTTGGGCGCGGCTTCTGCTCATACTTTGTGGTGCGGTGGTGGTGCGTCGGGCTGCGCGCTCTGACTTCGGCCAAGAAAAATGCGTCAGCTGATCATTGTCATTTCTGCCACTTGCGTGTGGTGAAATGGGGTCATAACTTATAAGACGGCTTTTTCATATCAATTATTTTACATAAAATCATATTTCAAACCATAAATAATGTTCGACAGCCAAATAAAAGAAACAATACCAATACGGGCTTACAGTTTAAGGCTCGACATTGTGTTGTCTACGATTAGACAGCTGATAACTCATTCCCGTACGTCGTATGGTCGTAACACTATAATGACCTTTGCTTATTGTCACAAGTGCGCCGCATTCGCGATTGTTGCCCGACGCCTGTTTGCAGGTGAGCCCACTACAGTTGTTATACATATCTAAAAACCGATAAACTTTTAGGCGAAAAAGGCACTATTCCAGGCCCATTTTTGATTTTTTTTTGCGATATTTGGTAAAAACAGAAGCTTCTTATCCTAGGAAAAATAAAATGGGAAATCTTTCAAAGGTGGCACACTACCTTTAACACCCAGACCGCAGTCACAGCCAATCGGCAGAGTTCTGAGTCAATTTCAGACGGGACGACTGCGTCGAAAAAATTAATCACATATCACACCCTTCGTTATGAGACCCGAACGAACTCAGCATCGTCGTTGACAGTCTCGGTCGCTCTACCGATCGCTGGAAAGTGGCTGTTTGAATTGTTGGAACTTGTGCCGGAGTTTGGTGGGCTGAGCTCCAAGTTTTACCGACAGCCGACGCTACCGATCGCCCCCTCCCCCCCCCCCCCCCTCCCCATCGACGCCAGACGGCGCCGTCGGCCCGGAAGCCAGTTCTAGCACGTGGCATCACGTGGGAGAGTCGGCGCCAGCCAACCACGCCGGTCCTAATCACACTGGCATTCCGCTCCCAGTAACAGATGTCTACTACAAGCATCGTATTCCTCAGGACGGCCACTATCCTAGCTAATATCGAAACACGCCACCACCCCAGCAGGCTGACTTGTATCGCGTATCGTCACTAGGTTACCGGACCGACTAGTGGAAGGCGACTGGCGGACAGGGTCCACGCGTCCACCCCGTGCCAGTGATAGCCAGGGAACACGACACACTGTGACACCGGGTAGTCGCTGCCGCACACCGCCCAGGGTCAACGACCGGCCTGAAATAGGGCCGGGCCGCGGCGCTGGGTCATGCCCGGCTCCATACCCACCCGGCCTGAATCCGCCCCCCGGCAGGGAGGGTCGAGTTGCCAGCGGGCCGGCCGGGTCCAACTGGCACCAGCCTCAGTCACCGACACGGGCCATTTTCCTCGACATATCGGCGCCATCAGCAGCTGTTTCGCCGAATGTAGGGAACAGGCGACGTCGGTACACTTTAGGTTATGGCGTGAGTGAATAGCGAGCAACGGCTTCCAAATAAGGAAGACCACGGTCCGCCCCACCCCAGGGCCATACTAGGCGAGGTTACAGGTTTCGCCACGGCCAATCTTAATCCCTACGTTCAATAGATAGCAGAGCTGTCGGATTAGCACAGTCCCTGAGACGCTCCTATCTTACACGCCCGCAACTCACGGTTCCTTGGCACGCGACACGTGATTATCTTCCCTCGCCAGTCGCCACCCCACCCTGAAGCCATCAAACGCCGTCGGCACGTGATTCCTACGGTGGTCACTGTCAGTGCCAATGGCATTGACCACGTGACTTAGCCACCGTCAGTGTCAAAGTCGATTACAGGTCAGGGACAGATCGTCAGCTTCGCTCTAAATCTACGCCATGCACCGGCACTGCGACTGAAACCCTACAGTTCACACGGAACAATGAACTGTAGCGGATCACTGACTGAGCAGGAGCACCGAGTGCCACCCAACAAACTGGTGTGACCGGCGACAAGGTCGTTCTGTCCGCGACGCGACCGGTTCGGCACGAGCGACAGAGCGGCCTTGACGGTTCGTCAGCCCTCCCCCCCCCCCCCGATCATCGCGATCCTGCCCAGGTTTCGTCCATCTGCGCCGCATTCTCAGCTGCACGCTTCCCAGGCGTGAGTACCGAGATAGCACACAGCTCGGCGAAAAGTCAACGCACGCGTGGGCCGACGCGTAGCTAGCCATGCCGACAAAGAGAAGGAAAACGATAAGTGTGATACCAAGAGTAGCCTAGCTCCTTTGTGGCGCAGTATTTCAATTTAAAATGTCAATTTCCCTGTTGGAAATCGAGGTCTGGGTGACAATATTGGCAGTGTGGTATTATCCAAAGCCCTTCGCGGCCCTTGAACCCTGAATCAGGCCAAGGTAAGCCTCTAGCTCAGAGGCTTGGCCCCAACGGGAACGAGAGAATAGGAAGGAAGAGTGGTCCATTCCGTAGTCGGACGAGGTCAGTGTCGTGCCCGGGACTTACTTTGTGATGGTGCCGTCGATGTCGGAGACGACGATTTTGTCGTCGTACCGCCACAGGAAGATGTTACACTTGCAGCGCGAGGTGCCCTGGTACGCGGTAGTCACGCTGAACAGAGCCTCGTTCTGACCCTCGTGCAGGCCCAGCTTCGCCTGAGGGCAGAGAAGAAACATTGTTAGCAAAATGTCGGGAACAACGGGTCAGGATTAAACAGTGTCTGTTACAGTGTATTCATTCGGGTTCCGAGTAGAAAATTCGCTGGATACACAACGCTTATTTCCAAGTATATCAGACGTTACCGCGACTAATATAAGCTCAGGCTTAGCAGCTCGAAGGATAAACGTTTACCATCGCCGAAAAGCGGATAGAAAAGGTTTCGTGACTCAGAGTTACTAAAAATCCTAGAGTCATAGTTTAAACACGTTATTCCTGCACGCCGTGTCCGTGGCCTTGAAAACCGGCCGGTCTACATCCGGGAGGTGTGGGCGGCCGATACACCTGCGTCCACTCAAACCGAATTACCTACGTCCTACACGACCGGACAGGCTCCGGCGCCTACGCAACAACATTATCGCCGAGAGTGCCAGAGTGGGGCGTCATTAGTCCAATTGCCAGTCACGTCTGTAGAAAGAACAGCGGCACAAAAAGGCCCGCTGTTGGTGGGCAGCCGCCGGATGGAGACACAATGTTTATCAGAGCACACCAGCCACCCTGGGCGGCAAATCTGGCACATAGATCGGCACAGTTACAGAGCGGGCCACCCTGGCGGCTGAACGGTCCGTCCCAGTTCACCCGATTGGACCAGACTGGTCCAGAACCAGTGGAAAATTACCGAGCTACTGCGGCCTTCCGCCCCGCCGGCTGCGGACGACCGGTCTGTGAGCCCTACGGCTACTTAAGTCATCCTACAACTGTCAGCCCAACCGCTACTGAAGTCCCTTGTTTGGCTCACTGTCAGTTAAATAGCAGCTTAAGCCTCGCAACTCACTGCGAGTCAAATGACTGCCTAAGGCCCGGGCTCTGATTTACTGCCCAACAAAGCGGCAGCTGCAGCCCTGCCTCCCAGCCCGGCCCAGTCTATACCCCGTCCTCTGACTTACGATCATCTCGGAGGAGAGTCGCAGCGTCTTCTTGAAGAGGCGCTCGCCGTCGGCGCCGGAGCCGGGCCCGGAGTCGGGTCCGGGACCGAACTCCTCCTCCGCCGTGTCGTCCGACTCTGAGTGGCGCTGGCGCTCCCCCGTGTCCGAGCTGAGCGGGGGCGGGGCAGGTCAGGTCAGGTCAGGTCAGGTCAGGTCGGGTCAGGTCGGGTCAGGTCAGGTCAGCCACGATCAGCCCAGATACGTACCATTACCGATACACAATGGGGCACCAATGAGTCCAACTGACACAATACAGCACACACAAAGAAACTGCGTCATACCAGACCAAGGCAAGAAGTTGATCGGGTCCCGTTATACCAGTTGTACGACGGACCAATGGCCGTTTCCTAACGACGAACAAAGGTCCACAAAACACAGACACAGTACAGGCCCTGCCACACCGAGTGATTCCAGCCACCGACGCATAAATAATGCAGAAAACGCCGTTATACGCTGACGCACAGTGGGACATTGACCCGTATGTACCGAAAATATGGCCTGAACCGAGCATGGGACATGGCTATAGCAATAATGAAAACAGGCCACTGTCACCACCCTGCAGGGCGGGCGGCCAAGACAAATCCGTCCGGTGCCAGAGACAACTTTGTTTCACCGCGCTACTGAGCATGTCCCGGGTCGGGTCCCCGTCAACCCCTACCCCGTCCACCTCTGATCTGTCCTCCCCGAGTCCGAGGGGAGGGACACCTCGTCAGCACTCACCTCGGTCTCGACTGCCAGAGGCGTCCCGGAGTGCCGGGCGGAGTGCCTGTCTGTGTCTCACACTCTGCCGTCAGCGCAGTCAGGTCGGCCGGTTCCAGACCCGCGCGGCTCTCGTCCTCGCGCAGCGGGCCGGGTGCCACCTCTCCACCGAGTGCCTCCTCAGCAGCCTCCACCAGCGGCTCGCCGGAGAGCGGCTCCACCAGCGGCGGAGCACCGTCCTCTGAGGGCTCAGCGACCTGCCCCGAGGGCTCAGCGACCTGCCCCGAGGGCTCAGCGACCTGCCCCGAGGGCTCAGCGACCTGTCCCTCAGTCTCAGTGGCCTGCCGGCTCACCAGTTCAGGCATTGGCTCAGTGACCCGCCCCTCCGTCGGCGTCACCGGCTCAGTGACCTGTCCCTCGGTCACCGACTCCGTGTCGGCAGACTCGGTGACCTCGGTGATGACCGGGTGATCGCCAGTGACCGGCGGGGCCGCCGCGCCGGTGACCTGCGGGGGCGCCGCGCCTGTGACGGCGGCCGTCTCCACCTGGACCACCTCCTGCGCCGTGTCCGGCTGGCTGTCGGCCGGCGGCGGCTCGCCCGAGCGGCGCCACGACCACCACGAGTAGCTGCGACCCGAGCCCTTCTTGGCCGGCTTCTTCTTGGGCATGGTCTGCTCGGCGAGCCGCTCGAGGGTGCGCGGCGGCAGCGGCCGGCGGAACATCACCGTGGAGCAGAGCAGCGGCGCCGCCGTCGCCCAGTTGTAGTAGCGGCCGTTGATGCGGACCACCAGCTCGGGTCGCTCGAGCAGCCGCGGCTCGTCACACAGCTCATCGTACGTCACCAGACACTGCAGGAACAGGCTCTCGGGCACGCTGCCGTCGAAGTTGCCCTCGAGGCCGCCGCAGAGCGACATGGCGACGTCGCCGAGCTCCAGGTCGAGCGGCCGGTGGTCGCAGCTGTGCGGGCTGGACGGCGAGGGGGAGTGTGGGATCGAGGAGCCGTTACCCTCGTCCTCGTCCAGGCAGTGGTCGGCGCCGCTGTCTGCCGCCGCCTCTGTTGGAGATGAGAGAGGCATGGGTCAACCATGGAACGAAACGAGACTACGCGAAACAATCAGCAGACTAAGTCAGATAATTATCGGGCCAAACGAGACAATCATCACGTCCGACGGGCCGATCATTTGGACGAGTAGGACGGATGTCCCGTAGGCCCGCTTTAGCCAAGACAGTCCATCAACAGAGCATTTGTCAATGTCCGTCGGGGAGTTACGCGCGCCCAGACAGCTCAGACATACGGGCTAACGGCCGAGCCGACATTCGGTAAGATAACTGACGTGCCAACTGGGCGCTACACAGATCTGTGAGCAAGCCAAAGGGCCAAAAGGCCAAAATATTGAACATAAGCGCCCGAGACTGTGTTGGTCCGAGCGGTGCCTACCTTTGTCGCCACCGGCCAGCGCCTGGGAGCGCGGGAAGTAGAGCGCCGCCACCTCCGGGTCCAGCGACTCCAGGTTCAGGTCGTCCAGGTAGATACCCTCGGCCACCGGGTCGTGGCGCGCCTTCTTCGTCTTCCGCATGAAGCTGAACATGCCGGAGAGCATGGAGCGCTCCTCGCTGGCGGTGCTGGTGGTGGCGGCGACTGTGGACGCGGTGCCGGCCTCGGTGGCGCGGGCGGACGCCGCACCGCCGCCGGCCGCCTCTGCCGGCTCCCCGGGCGGCGGCGGCGCAGAGGAGCGTGACGGTGACGGCAGCTCGCCCCACTGCCAGACAGTGGTGTCCGTTTGACTGCCCTCGTCACTGACCAGACGCTCGCGCTCGATCTCGAACTCCGTGTCCGACTTGATCGGCGTGGCCGCCCGCGACGAGTGGGGGCTGCGGGCAAACGGGGGACGGTGTTATTGAAAGGATGATAAGGCACGCACGCAGACAATGACGCTAGCGAAACCGTAAACTGAAAAGAGCAAAAACTGGTAGATGAAAAAGTAATGTAAAGTAGCGTAATGAATTAAGTAATTGTCTAGCCGATCGTCTAGCCGCACGCGCTCGTTCCTCACGGCGCGGCCCGGGCCAGGCCCTGGTTACCCACCTGCCGCGGGGGCTGATGTCGGTGTCGCTGAACGGGTGACAGTCCTGCGGACAGGTGAGCCGCGACGTCCAGTCGTCGAGCGAGGCGCGTGACGCCCGCACCTCCTGCTTCACGTCCTCCATCTGGAAGATCTCGTCGTCCTGCGCAGACTCCACCTTCGTCTCCGACAGCGAGCGGCGGTGCTTGGCCGTCTTGCGCTTCTTCGACTTGCGCTTTTTGACGGGCTCCCGGTCGTCGGCGCTGGCCCGCGACTCGAGCGGCGCGGTCGGGCCGCTGGCGCAGGGCAGCCGCTCCGTCTGGGTGCTGGCACACACCTTCTCCGTGTTCTTGATGGGCACGAACATGGTGGAGCCGTCCAGCTTGACCAGCTTCTCCACCTTGCGCGCCTTGAAGGTGACGGGCGAGTCTCCGGGCCGCGGCTGCACCTGGCAACTCATGTCCGTGGTGACGGTCGACTGCGCCGCCGCGCCCGGCGTGTCAGGCACCGTCGTCACGTCCGTCACAGTCATGTGCGCGTGCGCGTCGGCGGCGGCGCTGCCGGGCGCCGGCACCACGTCGCAGCTGAGGTCGGTGACGGTCATGTGGGCGCGTGCGCCGGGCGTGGGCGGCTGGTGGGGGTCGGCCGGCGGCGCCGGCAGCTCGCAGTCCAGCTGCGCCACGCTCAGGTGGGTGTTGACCGGCGTACCGACCACGGCGGCGCCGGCGGCCAGCTCTGCGGCGGCGCCCTGCAGGCTGAACGGCTCGCTGCTGTCCAGCTGCCGGCCATCCACCGGGCGCGGAGAGCTCTCGTCGGCGGCGAACAGGGCGCGCGCCGGCAGCGGCCGCGGCAGTGGCGAGGTGGCCAGCTCGGCAGAGCCCAGCTCCTCGCCCTCGGCCACCGGCGCCACGAAAAACGCCTCGCCCGACTCGCCCAGCTTCATGTGGATGTCCACCGGCCGGCCGTTGATCTCAATGTCCACCTGGGGGTGGAAAAAGGGTGTATGTGGAACCAGGGAACTAGGGAAACTATTGCATGCATGAAGCACATTACACAAGAGGGCTGAGCACTTCAATGAGGCCTTTCAAATTGAAAAAAGATAAACTTATCCAGTATGGGATTACACTTTTGCTGAATGAAGAGCTGTAAATTATCTCAATGCCATAACTCAACAGCTCACGCCAGTAACTTACAATTTTCTCCTTGCTCTTGAGTACACCAATCTTGCCAAATCGGACATGGAATGGAGATGAAATGAAGGAGCCATCTTCCTGCTGTGCAACCACCACATCAATGGCCCCTGAAATAACACAATGACCAGAGAGATCAGTCACAAGTGAAAATTGTCATACATATTGACATGTATTGATACAAATGAGAAGCAAAAAATGTTATGTCACAGTACTATGCAATGCATAGTGCAATATGACATAGCTGTGACATACCTAATTTGATGAGACTAATGAATCATTCTGCTAAATTTACTTATGGAGAGCAATAATGGACAAAACAGAAAGAAATGTTAGGCAATTAGCACACTAATATCAAGCATTACATCTCATGTTTGATTGGGGTGGCTGCCACCTGCTATGGCTGAAAAGAGGTAATCACTCAAATGTGTAACATTTCATTTACCTGTTAGGGTTGCTGTGTTGATTTCATTGTAGAATTCCTTGAAGTTGGAAAGGAACTTTCCAATGTAATTCATGGTTAGGCTTGTAGGAGAGAAAATCTCCTGTAGTTATTGAGCTTGTGACCAGTGCACCAGAGGGCAAGAGATTCACAACTTCTCAAATAGACCTGTAAATGAGAAAAATTGCATCACACATTATACAAACTTGTAAAAGGGAAACCTACTTACTTACTTTGACAGCTTCAACTCTGACTCAGCTAAATAATCAACAAATATGGGCCCTGGACAATACAGTGCACCTATTAGTCTCTCACAACAATGATCATGCATGGAAAACAGACACAGCACTATGGTCTCACACCATACACATTACACAGCACCTGGTTTTGACCTGGTAATCAAAAGAAGGTTCACAAAAAGCAGCGACTTGCTCATGAAATTGTGAATTTTTTTACGATTTCAGGGGTCAAAGAGACACACAACCTCGCTTCTAGTGCCAAATCTCGCTTCTTTGGAAACCAAGGCCTCAAAACTACCTGAGAACAGTCCACTGTCGAGGTCCAAGGAAAAGGAGAACAAAGGGTTTCACGATGGCCTGGAAAGCGTGGGCAGTTTTGTTTCAGTGGTTCACGAATCAACTGCCTGGACCACGCAAAGGGTGCAGGATAGAAATCTCAGGAAAGTGGAAATACAAACAATTTCGGCCCAATTTCTACCGCGATACCGTCACTCTCACAGACACAGCGACCGCACCACCCACCTCAACAGGAACACGGCGTCTGCTGCCGCGCGCTGCCGCACGCGCTGCACCGTCGCCCAGCTGTGACGTCATAGCCCAGTCAGCTGATCAGCGAGTGATCGTTACCAGTGGTTCTCAAACTTTGATGCAGAACGGCCGGCGAGCATTCGATTCGGTGCTATCTCAGATGACGAAATGAAAGGACGAATTAGGTATTTAAAATCTAAGACAGTGCTTTTCCTAATCATTATTAGAAAATGAACCCAAATCTTATCTAAAAGGGTAGTTTTTGTCTTTTAGTTATCAGAATGCTGATAAAATAAAGTTCTAGAATGGAGCTGCAACTTATCAGTTCATATATCCAGCCAGCTAAGCCAGCCCCAAAGGAAACTAAACCGTCTCTCCCGTTGGTGATCAACATCGTGGAATTAGGAATAAGACATCGCACGATATCGCGAAATTAGATCGGTGTGCATGCCGGCGCGGTCGGCGGACGCCGGTCGGCGGACGTAGCGTGACATCTACCGTCCACCTACCGCCTAGCTAACCGGCCCGTGACCTCGACACCGATGTGCAGAGGACGCTACGGCTCTGGTTTCCCAACGGGATCGTCTGCAAGGGTCGGGTGCCGGCAGGCCGGCCGGACCGGACGAACGGGTCGCCGGCGGCGGTGGCGTGATGTGGCGTCATGGCCAGCCGCCCGGCGCCCGCCTCCACGCGCCTCGGCTTCACGCGGCCGGACGGCCCACGTGGTCCGATGGTGTGACGATGGTGACGTCACCACCCAGTGACGTCACGGCGGTGGTGGGGGCGCACCTGCGGAGCGTCATCCGGCGCCGGACGCTGACGGGACAGCCGCGGCATGTGGGACCCAGCCGTCCCGCCGGGATGTTTGTGTCCCACTGTGGCCGCAGGCGAACACTGAGTCACCAGGGGTGACCAGCGCAAATAACAGGCCGGGGCTGGTGTAACCGGTTATGTGACGCATCATTTCTCAGAATGGCCAAGTTTTCTCAGAATTGCGAGCCTCTGAAAGTGGATCCCAAATGCGCTAAAAATAGAACTCTCGCATCGTCGACTGGGAAAGGGAAGCCGTAAAGGGCAAAGGGGTCGGGGCACAGCGTTTGGGGGACACTGGTATGCTGAAAGATTTCTCGAATCGTCACATTCACTCTAGAAAATGACGCTATTTTATCTGCCGGGTCCGGGTCAAGTACGGCACTCTTCAGGACACACACACAGACTCTACTAGAAGACTTAGGCCGGGGGGATCCAGGGCGTCGGAAGTCCATCTACGACACGTCGCAAGTTACGACACATATACCGTCGCAAGTTGTGTCGTAGCGGAAAAGGAGGGATGTTGAGGAAAGAGGGGTTTGTCGGAGGATACGACAGAACGTAGCTGCGACGAGGCTTAAATACCCGCTTTACTCGAGAATTTAAAAGGCTACACGATCAGCTGATCCCGTAGTAAACGTCAGTAAGGTCGAAAACTCTATCACGCATAAAGGAACATTCGCCCTTCTGGTTTGCGAGCTTATGAGACAGCAAGGTCAAGCATGTTCTCTGATTCTGAAGCTTTGTCTTAACTGGGTGACTTGTGGTTGCTAACGCTCACGTGATTTGCCATAAAATTTGGGATCGATCACAGGAGATTCGTGGCTATAGAGTATAGGGCATCTAGAACCGATGCTTTAGAAGAAATGAGTTCCGAGAGTTTGAGGTCACAGAGAGGTAAGAAATTTGTAGACTGAGGTCACAATTGGAGGTTACAGAGGTCATCTGGGACACGTCAGGTCACAGAGGTCAACTTGGGGTCATCACAGAGCTCAATTGGAGACCACGGAGTAATCTGAGACACGTCAGGTCACAGAGGGCAACTTGGGGGCACGTCAGGTCAAGGAGGTCAACCTAGGGTCATCACAGAGCTCAATTGGGGGTCATCTGGGACAAGTCAGGTCACAGAGGTCAGCTTTGGGTCATCGAAGACCTCAATTGGAGGTCACGGAGGTCATCTGGGACACATCAAGTCACAGAGGTCAACTTGGGGTCATCACAGAGCTCAGTTGAAGGTCATGGGGGCCATCTGGGACAGGTCAGGTCACAGAGGTCAGCTTGGTGCCATCAGAGAGGTCACTTAGAGGTCACAGAGGTCATATGGGACACATCAGGTCACAGAGGTCAACTAAAGGTCATCAGAGAGCTCAATTGGAGGTCATCTGGGACACGTCAGGTCACAGAGGTCAGCTTGGAGTCATTAGAGAGCTCAATTGGAGGTCACGGAGATCATCTGGGACACGTCAGGTAACAGAGGTCAACTTGGGGTCATCACAAAGCTCTATTGGAGGTCATGGGGGTCATCTGGGACACGTCAGGTCACAGAGGTTAGCTTGGGGTCATCATATAGGTCACTTAGAGGTTACAGAGGTCATATGGGACACGTCAGGTCACAGAGGTCAAGTTGGGGTCATCACAGAGCTCAAATGGAGGTCATCTGGGACACGTCAGGTCACAGAGGTCAGCTTGGAGTCATCAGAGAGCTCAATTGGAGGTCACGGAGGTCATCTGGGACACGTCAGGTCACAAAGGTCATGTTGGGGTCATCACATAGCTCTATTGGAGGTCATGGGGGTCATCTGGGACACGTCAGGTCACAGAGGTCAGCTTGGAGTCAACAGAGAGCTCAATTGGATGTCACGGAGGTCATCTGGGACACGTCAGGTCAAAAAGGTCAATTTGGGGTCATCACAGAGCTCATTGGAGGTCATCGGGGTCATCTGGGACACGTCGTTTTTGGAATTGGGAGAATCTTTTGGGGGATGCCCCTTGCAACGTCCAAGACCGCCTTTCTGGATTCGCCAGTAGTTGCTGGAATGGTGTTAGGCTACTTCATATCCCCGAATACCCCAATAAATGTGAATATAACATATTACGCACCATTTTCAACACTCTCGCTGGCACGGATTGAGGCGTCATAGACGACCCGTCAGTTCAAGCTCTATAACTCGCGTTAGCGTTAACGGATTGCAACCAAATTTTCAGGATATAAAGTTTAAACAAATTTACACCTACCATGTAAATTTCGTGACCCTGACCCGAATGACCTGTGACCTGTGACCTCTTCCTCAAGGCAAGGTCAACTTGCGACACAACTTACGACTGCTATTTCAAATTCGTAAGTTGTGTCGCAAATCAGGCAATTTGCGATAGACTTTACTACTTAAGTAACGCTACTCATCGATTGATCCCTTCAAAAACGACTTACTACACAACTTGCGACACGTCGCAGCTACGACGAGGCTTACGACGCTCTGGATCCCCCCAGCCTTAGGGTGGACGACACTGGAAACGCGACGAGGCCTCCACAAACTAACGACATTCCATTCATTCACCCACAACAGACATCACTTACCCGCAGCTATCACCTCACTCATACCTGACACAAGAGCACACACAACAGGAAGACCACTGCGAAACGCAACATCTCTAACATTGCCCCCTAACAAAACCACAGCATACCAGAAATCCTTCATCCCTTCATCCATCAGGATGTGGAACCAACTCCCACCTGAGGTGACCTCAATCCAATCCTCCCGATCCTTCAAGCGTGAAATACACCAGCGCTGTGGCGCAGCTTCGCCGCAGTTTTACTACGATCTTGGTTCCAGATCAGCGAACGTGTTTCATGCAAGGTTAAGAATGGGCTTATCCCAACTGAACGCACACTTATTCAAAATCCATAGCCGTAATACTGATAGTCCTGTTTGTCTCTGTGGTCATCTAACTGAAGATATAAAACATTTTGTCCTTCACTGTCCTCTCTATCGTGACATAAGGACCCAAATGATTCATGAAACTTTACTCATCATTCCAGAATTTTCTAACCTAAGTCAAGAGCAGCAAATCACTGTCTATCTCAAAGGAATTAACTTAAATGAGCGAGAACAACAGCAAATTGCAAACATTTTCCAACGATTCATCCTTAACACCAAACGCTTTTCATTTTAGATTCCTTGGCGGGCGCCGGCAGCTGACGGCGGCTGATGGCGGACCTGGGCGTATGCCGCTGCGTGGACGGCGGCCGCACCTCGTTCGACTTTGCCTCTGCTTACCGGGCGGGGTGCGGCCGGCGGCTGCGCGGCGGTGGGCGCCCGGTTTGCCTATACGGACGGGCTGTGTGGGTGGCGGGAGGGGTGCTGGTCGGTGTCCGGAGGCGGTCGTTTTATCTTTGATTTATTTTCGGTATTCTGTTGGAGAGGTACCTTGAGTTAAGCAGTTTTGCTTTTGTGCCAATCCATCTGTATCATCATCTCACAATGCATGTCCATGATCGAAAATAAATAAACAAACAAACAAACAAACAAACAAACAAAACGGGATCGCATTCGAGAAATGGCATCGGGTATGACGTCATCATTGGTTCGTCAC